AACCTTAGGTTCTTGTAAGTTTTTTTGACGCACGATTTTGAAATCCTTCTGAAACCGATGGTTTTTGAAGGATTTCGGCATACGCCCGCGACGACGCGCGCGTCTGCACTTCGTCCCATTCTTCGCGGAGGATTCTCGCGACGGCACACGCGCAAGGGCGTTCGACAGATTTCGACATGCGCGCGCGCGAAGCCCGTTTGGTAGCATTTTGTGAAAATCTTGGAAAACCTATGGTTTTCTAAGATTTCGCAATACCTCACGCGGAAGCTTGTTTCGCAAATCAGTGTTGCGAAACCATGTGTTTTGTATGTTTTTCGGAAACTCGATTGCGAAATCCTTCTGGCACCGAAGGTTTTTGAAGGATTTCGGCATGCGCGCGCGACGACGCGCGCGTGTGCACTTCGTCACACTTTTTGCAAGGGATTCGTGAAAAAAAGTGCTATGTTAGAACAAAAAATGTCACCGCATAGTGTTTTTTTTACCAGGGAACCGCAGGGGGGGGGAACCCGGCCTGGCTGGGATAGTATGAATTCATATTTAGGATGGACATGTGGTCAGAATCATATGTAATTTACAGCACGCGCGGGGTAACCGATAACTCCGGGGGGGGGGGGGTAGAATCTATTATTTTTTCAGAAAAGAGAATCTATGCGGTGCAAATACTTTTGGTTCGCCATGAATTTCATTGTCCACTCCACTGCTCGCGCAACCGTCACACCCACTCACCCGCAACTTGGTTTGAAAAGCCCATGCGGCGGCGATTGCGATGAGTGCTTGAAGTTGGCTGGTGCATCTCTGCGGCCGCGCTATCCCGCGCATGCTCGCGCGCGCAGCAGCCCGCTAGTATGGCGCAACCGATGCGGCCGCGGTGGCGCCGACCGGTGGGCATTGGGCGGGCGAGGTATCATGGAAACGTTGACAACGGTAGACGCGATGATGACGGTAGCGGCGCTGGTGACGATGATGACAAAGACAACGGCAAGGCCAGTGACGGCGCCGATGGCGATCACGCCGACGACGATGACGGCGTTCTCGCGTCGGTGATGAAGGCTTTAGAAGGAGTTCGACATGCGCGCGCGGCCCAGAACTACATATTTTCATACGGCAGAGAACTAAGGGCCCGGGTCCCGCGCCGGGACACCCTCCAGGATCTCCCCCCCCGTGGGTAACCCACTTGGGTCCTGGGGGACACTGGGCCCTTTTCTAAACCACGGGGGGCTCTTTAGGTCCCCAGAGGGTTCCACGAGGGCCTACGACGTTGGGAAGAGGCCGCCAAGACGGCCCCAGAGCGCTCCATCGCGCCCAAGACGGCCCCAGGACGGCCCACGGGGCTCCAAGAGGCCCTCCAAGAGGGCCCGAAGAAGCCCAGGAGGAGGAGGAGGAGGCGGAGGAGGAGGAGGAGGAGGAGGAGAAGAAGGATTCTAGCGCTCCCGCCTGTTCGGGCCTCCGACGCCCTGGGGCGGCCTCGTGGGCCCCAGGACCGTCCCCAAGCGGCCCACGAGGCCCTGAGAGGCCCGCAGGACGGCCCTGCAGACCTCCCGCGGCCCCCCAAAAGAGCCCAGAGAGGGGCCCACGATTGCAGAGAAAGGCCCCCGACATACACACAAATAAAAGAATTCCCAATATTTTCCCATATGTTCGGGGTTTTTGTCTTCCCCCTGAGACATGGCCGCTGAAGGCCAGGAGGCCCCTCAGAGCCACCCAGAAGCCTCTTAGACTCGAAGAGGCCCACAAGAGGCCCCCGAGAGGCCCCAGGAGGCTCCCAGGAGGCTCCCCAGAGGCCCCCGAAAGGCCCCCAGGAAGCCCCGAGGGGGCTGAAAACACAATTGCGGCTGTCGCGCTATCGGTGCGCAGCCAAGCTCGCGGCAAGATAGGCGGGTACGCAGGGGGAGGAGGGAGAGAAACACGAAATGGGAGAGGACAACATGCATGCTATTGATATGAGTTGGCCCACTCCGCTCCACTCCGCCCCTCCGCGGGCCCAAGCGTGTCCCAAGATTGTCCCCGAAACATCGTGAGGATTCTGGAGGCAACTTGGAGCCATCTACGGGTGAACCACACCTGACAAAGGCATGACTCGATGCATGCATGCATGTATGGACGGATGGATGGGCGCATGGTGCATAGATGCGTGCGAGGAGGCATGGCTTGAAGGTTCCTGGATCTATGACTCCGCAGGTGGGTCATGTCTGGGCTGCTTGGATCTGTTGATCGATGATAGACGATGGGAAGGATGGATCAAGGTATGATTGGTTTGGCGTTTGAGCGACAGGGCAAACTCGCACTAGAACCTAAACGCGCGCGAAGAGCGCACGTGGGATGTGTGGGAACGAGGGGGGGGAAGCATAGTGCACCTTGCGCGCGCACTCGGGGCCCTTCTCAGGCGCCCTCTCTGCCCAGTCAATAAGGCCCAAACTCCTGCAGCCCCCGATCTCCCCCCATCTGGCCAGCACCAAAGACCCAACCAACAGAGCCAGCCCTCTCTCGGGGGCACATCTCC